AACAAACCCTCTGTTTGCGGCTACCTTACTGTAGGGCGCCCCCAACGGGCGTTAATTGAGTATTTGCTCCTTCCGACCCCAAATTACCCCCCCCCCCCTTGTTCGCTCAAAATTGTTGTGATCGGAGGACGGTCCATCGGCCCTATTCAGATTTTGGGCGCATTTGTTGCGGAACCGCCATTGGTGACCCCTTTTTCAAACGCTGCCCCCCCCCCCCAGGTTCCGCCCTCCTGAAAAAAAAAACACTCCGCAAACATTTGACAACAAACGGTGGAAGGCGCCATTTTGAAACTATAAAGAAGCGAGGTTTTGAAAAATTTCTCCAAACCACTTGTACGGCACGACGAAGGATGGATGACTCATATTTCATCAAAAAAATGCCAGAAAAAAAATCTCTGACAGCGATTTCTGGCCTGAAAACAAGCCCTCTTTTCGCGGCTACCTTACTGTAGGGCGCCCCCAACGGGCGTTAATTGAGTTTTTTTTCCTTCCGACCCCAAATTACCACCCCCCCCCCTTGTTCGCTCAAAATTGTTGTGATCGGAGGACGGTCCATCGGCCCAAGGCTATTCAGATTTTGGGCGCATTTGTTGCGGATCCGCCATTGGTGACCCCTTTTGAAACACTGCCCCCCCCCCCACCCAGGTTCCGCCCCCTGAAAAAAAAACACTCCGCAAACATTTGACAACAAACGGTTGAAGGCGCCATTTTGAAACTATAGGTAGCAGACCAGTAAATAAACTTCCATAGACCCCAATGGTAAATGCTCCCACTTCAAAAATTCGGGAAAAATACTCACAACTCTCCAAGGTGTTCGAGACACACATCAAATTATAGCTTATTTCATCATCTTTCATTTTCTTTTCAATTTTTGGGGGGTCAACTGATGACTTTTAGGAGAAATTTCCATCTGAAGATGATCACCCCTGAAAATAGTCCTGAAGCCCATCGCCATTTTGAAAAACGATGCCTACACTCCATTGCAAAGTAGAGCGCTTTTAGGGTCCAAATTACATCAAAATTACACAGAACTGCAAGCTCCCAGTCCTGTGCACGGTTTCCACCCATATTTTTTACAAACCCTCAAGTTCATGGCCCACAGCATGCTCAAATACCAAAGATTTTGACCGATTTACTGGTCTGCACCCTCAGGCAGCCTCCGTGGCTAAAAATAAACATGACGACATTAACGGCCCTTTTTCAAAGCGCGGCTTCGTTTCCGATATCGCTTTATTCCTTGTAGCTTTCAATGTTCTGATCAAATCTTTAAATAAATCACTTGCTTCGTAATATCATACCGTTATGATAATACAGTTTGATGGTTTTTGTAAGATAACATTGAGTTATTTTGATCTGGAATCTCTCAAAATTACGGAACCAAATAGCACTGTTAGCAGGCGGAGCCGAATGGAGACCGAGTTTTGGAAAATCTCAGTAACGGTCGTCAAATTAAAAATTGTACATGACGCATCAAAAAGTTCGCCCGTACGATCCGAGTATATTTGATGCACAAAATCGTCGTTGAATTTCAAGCATTGTTAGCGCGATAGCCGCCGCCCGATCTGTGTATCACCCGTTTACCCAATCTTATCCTAGCATCACAATTTCAATTTATCTCACAAATTAAATTTGAATAGGTTTACAACTAAAACAATAGATAATTAAAGTCAGTGAAAAAAATGCAATCCGAATAAAAGTCAACTTTAATGGAACAAAAGAGACGCGTATAAGGATATTAATAAAAGGGCCCCGGTATACACATGAGCAAGAGGGAGGCGGGATTTTTTTTTGTCGAGTGATGAGATGGGAGAGGGGGGGGGAAACAAGCGAAATATATTTATTAAAAGTCGTAAGTGGAGACATGTTTTTTTAAATAAAAGGGCTATAAGCTGTACATGTATACAAAACAGGCAGCCAGCCCCGCCCCTATCCCCTTCCAATGCCATACACACTCGCTAATGCGCTAGCCAACTCTGAATACGGTGCACGTGCGGGAATTAAATATATATAGCGCCGCCTACGTTAGGGTGAGGAAAGTTTTGGTGAAATTTTTCCTAAAAAATTACCTCGACTTTTTAAATACGGCGAATTTTTGAATTTTGAAACTACAGTTCTATTCAGTTTGCAATTTCCTCTTCAAAAAGTATCATTATGTGGGATAAAAATGCTGCCAAAGTGCTGTAATTCGTGATTTTCCGCTTCAATATTCCCCATTCAGATGCACCCAAGCGTGAAAAAAGATCGCGGCGTTTAATCCTTTGGCCTCAATGGAAACATTTTATTGTTAACGCAAGATTCAACAAAAGAAGTTAACAAAGGAAATGGGCTTCTCTGCATCCGTTGAACACGTGTGTTTTGTACTGAAACCAAGGATTATACGAGTTTTATTTCAATGAATTTCACGCTTTTAGTTCAGTTGACACCCTTTATCCTTTTCCAATCAAATTTAGATCAACTTGAACAGCTACTCCCAAAATCAAACGAATGATATACATTGTCAGACTGTGTTTTACGTCTAAGCGTGCATGGGCGTGCACGTGAAAAGCCGTGATAAGCCTACCTTACACTTATAATTAAAAAGAACAATTTGAGCGCGTTAGTGGTCTGCTGGACGGGCGTAGGACTCCCAATCTGGCGACTCAGGTTCGAATCCCACCATGATTATTGTTGATGATTGTTACTTAATTTTCTTCTTTTCTCTTTTTTCCCCCAAAAATAAATTTAGTGAACTTATCTTTAAAACAAAAATGAAGTTTTGTTTTCCGAATAAAATACATCAAAAATACATGTATAAACAATAAAATTGTATGGTATATTCTTTTTTTTTTTTTTTTTTTTTAATACTATTTAATCCTCCATCCATGATGGGATCAAGAAATTGAAAATTAAAGGAGAGACAAGTTTGGATTTTTTTCTGAAAATGATTTTGATTTTAATTCTTTCAACTGCATTTAACACTTTATATAAAACTTAACACATAGTTATCACTGACTGTGTTATTATTGAAATAGTTGAAGAGCATTTTATTGCAAAAATGAAACAAATTTTAAGGGAAGATACATCATTTGCAAGCATAGAAAACGACACGGTCAAATTTTCACGAAATACTTCACTGGATTGTTAGGAAATGACAGTCTAAAGCTTAGCATCCTGTAAAATCATGGCTCCTGGTGTGCTGACATTTTCAAGAAAAATTGTATTTTTCCAACACTGGTTGGCCAACCAGCAGTGGAAAAAAATGGCTATAAAAACAGTGCCTAATTTGTCATATTGAGTTATTTCGCGTTATCGTTGCAATTGATTACACAATGGTGAAAGGTAAGCCTTCTAGACTGATTCTCTGACCTTACAATTCCCAAAAGTCTACAAATTGCTCTGCTTCATCTTAAGTGGTTCAGGGAACCAGACTACAAGAACATGATTGGTTTTCTTGGTTTTCCAGCATATACAAGCCCAAAACGTGAAACAAGCCAGTTGAACAATATTTGCTATAACATAATAATCCTCCAAATCCATTTATTTTTTTAAATTGCAGCAAAGACAAATGTTGTACATTCCCTTTAACCAAAATATTTCACGCATGTCAGTACTGCATGCATACAGTTTTAAAAAAACCAATGATAAGGACTAGTAACTGGGTTTTGGCATTTAAGATGACTCATTGTCCAAAATCAACAAATTATATTGTTTTCCAATTACCAATTTTCTATCTATTTGTTATTTAAACAGAGGAAAACAACTCTTTTGTTCTGTTTTTGGACATTTACAACCCTCAGAACAAGTAGCATTTAATTTGGTAGCTTTTCCATGCAAACAGGTCCCCTTCCCTACTGAGTACACTAGACTGTTTGCCTACATATCATTTCTGACAGGGATATTGGGAACCAGTTTTCCCTACAAGAACTGACTTATTCTAGGGCTACATATAATGACAATCTAAGTATATTACATAACCAAATATGGGCCAAATTTGTTGTTCTCATGCAAACGTGACTAATTGTTGTATTGTTAGAATATACAGCAAAAAAGAACTTTTCTTGGGGGTGGAGTCTCAGTAATTGCACAGACTGTGGTTATAAAAACAACTAAATTTCATGTATGTAGACGCCTACTAAGGAAATAGGACTACTGAAATATACTGAAATAACAGCTAACTTTGACCCAGGATGGGATGGACCAACAAAGAGCATGAAAACTCCTCTTTTCAACTGTTCTCAGACTTTAATTTAAAATTATATCCAAGTGAGAGATATTGAGGCTGTGTTCAATCGATGGGTACGATGCACCCATGCCCAACCTTGCATCATTCAATGACTGTTTATTGCCTCCAAGCAAGTGTCTGAAAACTTGGTAAAAGGAATAACATGGAGCACAATATTTGAGTGAGTAACCAAACCACATTACTCTGAATTACTAAACATGCAAGACAATCTAAACCGCATGGATGTTTATTGAAGGCAGGACCAGTCCAATCCAGTCCAGGATCTGCAATCCAGTATCCTAACTAGTTCAGCATCTGCAATCCAGTATCCTAACTGGTTCAGCATCTGCAATCCAGTATCCTAACTGGTTCAGCATCTGCAATCCAGTATCCTAACTGGTTCAGCATCTGCAATCCAGTATCCTAACTGGTTCAGCATCTGCAATCCAGTATCCTAACTGGTTCAGCATCTGCAATCCAGTATCCTAACTGGTTCAGCATCTGCAATCCAGTATCCATGGTTCAGCACCTGTGATAGCTGGGTGACCCTCTCAATGATCTTATCCCGTCTCTCTCCACCAACCTGCTGATCAAATTTCTGCAGGAAATAGTCTGGATGCCACAGCAGCTGCAAGGAGCGTACAAAAAACCCCACAGCTCGGCAGCATCCTCACTGAAGATAATGTAACGCATCAGCCCCTGGAACAATCTTGTCTGAGACATATGAGTTGCCATGATGAAACATTCAGAGCATGTCCTCCATGGATCCCAGCTGAGTCAACTACTGTTCCTATACTTGCACTAATAGCATCTTGTTACACAACTGTAGATACTCATCCTGTGTCACTGTCTTTGTTCTTTGTCTCAGCTTGTCTTCCTCTCTGCTGTATCGGACAGCTGAGACCCCTTGTAGCACTGCTGCTGTTCTGTCAGTGATCTGCTGCTATGGCGGCTCAGTCGTCAAATGAATCCTGATGATTAAATACATCATATAAAAAAATAATTCTGAAATTATTTTTAATACTGACTTTTAATCTTGCGATGTGAATCTTCGTTTTGACAAAAAAAACCTCACTGACATCTTTGCTTTATTCAGACTAAGTTTTCCACAGGGACAGTAACATATATTCCAGGGTTTTAGTAAAAATACTTCCATCGAGCTTCATAAACAGACCCAACAACTTCAACAAGTATGATACTCAAGTTGCTAATAAGAGTTGCAATAATAGGCGTCAGCTATTTGGTTCGACTTCCAGTCAAGAAAGCGTACGTAGTTTTTTTTTCCTCAAAAGCTTCTTGAAAGCCCGGAACGCACCCACTCCGTTAACTTTTTGGAACCGAAATATAAAATCTGTGTCGCCAACATACCCTGCAGTCCTATAATAAACCCACACTACTGGGACCTGGCATGGAGTGCTCTGAAACATGCAAAACACAGTATTGATGAGAGTCCCAAATTTCCGGACAAGCATAAACCTGCGAAAACAATTTTGCGACTTGACACTGCCGTTTTCTTCATATATCATCTCAATGAAGGACAGTCATTGAAAAAATGATGATAAGACATGAATCTAGGACTAAGAAACATTCCCAATTTCAATGTTAGGAAATACTTCAATTTTCTTGACTCACCATAGACTTTGTACCGCTGAAGTGGCGTCAGGTTGCAACATTCTTTCCATGTCTGCTGCCCATTGGAGATCAACCTGCTATCTGTACTGCCATCAATTGCATCATATGCTGCATTCCTCTGACTCTGTGTCTTGCATCACTGGCTGCTAATGGCATGCACGTCATCAATTTCTATTAAGGGCCGTAGGATACAGACAGAAAGGCACTTGTTTTACATAAATAAAGCCATAGTGAGTTGCTATTTGCTGAGCGTGTACTTAAGGAACAATTCTTAGTTGAACCTAGCCCAAAAATTAGGGACTGTCCATGCAAACTCAAGTCAAAGTCTAGCCCGACTGCGTCTGGCCGTACAGTAATATCGCAAGCTCTGTAGTACGGCCAGACGCTCAATGCTTCCACACACACTGAATTTTTTTCCCGCTGATGTAGCGATTTTGCTACAGATTTCGATCGAGATTATCTTTTCGTCCAGGACACAAATTTCCATCCACAAAATGTAGGTGTGTTTAACGCAAAAAAAAATAACGGGCAATTTTGAGTCAACTTTCACGAGGCAAAAACACACTCGGTTTCCACAAGATAACTGAAGAAATATCTGTTGCATTAACTTAGAATGTATTCCGGGATCCCTTTGCAAGTTTTCCAACAACTTTGAGGCAATTTAGATTTTTTGTTTTTTCCTCAATAAAAAAATACAAGAGGTTAGGCCAAAAAAAAAGTCTCCGGTTTCTGGTATGGAGCTTGCCCAAAAAGTGGTGCGGCGGCGCGGCTTTTTTTTTTTTTTTACCTGATTTTTTTTGTTCAAATGTCGGCTGATGACTGCAAATGGTGCCCGAGAAAACCTATGTGCAAATACATGGGAGTCCAGAGAGGCCACATAAAGCTTATTCTCGACCATAACCCAATCTAAAAACACGTTAAAATTGTGCAGCAGCAAGATTCATGTCAAACCAGTGAGTTTGGCGGTTTTGAGACATCATGTTTCATCAAAAAAAAAACGTTTTCATTTTGCCGACGCGCATGGCTACGGCGACGCGCGCGCATACCAAAAACCGGAGACTTTTTTTTTTGGCCTTAGCCTCATATTTTTAATTCAATTTGGCCAACAAAAAAACTTTTCTCCAAAATAATTATGCAAACATTCCTTGGAAAGTAGGAGAAGCTTCGATCAACATTCATCGACCCATTTTGTTTTTTAAATATCAACCACATATATCTTATATGGTAAGGAATTATTTTGTTTCCCCTTCTTTTCTTGCGCAGTTTTATCAAACGAAAAGCAACGATTTCTGATTTCGCAATCTACCTGAAACGAAAGCTGGACATTGTTCGTTGTGCAATTTTCTGAACGACATAGACACATTGGTTGCGCAATGCATTCCAAACGACGCAGATACGTCTTGAGACCATGATTATGTGCACCAAGTATAAAGCATTTTATCTTCTAGAAATAAAATCAAAAATATTTTGAGTATTATTTTTAATAAGAATGTCTTTTATTTCAAGTCATTACCACTATCTACCACTATAGCTATAGTACGCGGGTATGTATACATGCATTTTGGAACAGTGCCCTCAATAGTCAGGTAGCGTCTAAGCCCAACCCCCTCCACCCCAGCTTTTCAAACTTTCCAAGTTGGTGGCTCCGCAAATATGAACAAGAGATTGCCTCTGCTGGTCAAGAGGCCTAACTGTAGCCTTTCCACAAGGTCATCCTGACAAGCGCCGGCAGTTAACCGAGGGACGAAACAGCGAGGCGTTTTGAACGGCAACTTGACACACGTCGAGTGAGCTACAAGCGAGGTTTTCCAAATCCCAGCTTCATTCCAATACCGGATCCAGCTCTATTGCCAAGCCGCATGCCCGAAACCGGTTTACGGAACGAAGCCGGAGTTTGAGAAACGCCGGTATGTCTCATGACTTCGATGACTTTCGGTCGTTTTGTAAACATAGGCTTCGTGCCCGGCTTCGGAACAAGGCCATGTAAAGGCCCCTAATCAGACAAGTGGCTTTGTCATTTACTTGTATGGTATGGTCTCACTGGTATGGGGGAGGGGAGGGGGAAGAGGGGGGGGGGGCTGTGATCGTTCAACTATCCCACCCCACCCCCATCGTCGCTACGTCATTGCTTCAGAGATTATTATAAATCGAGGTGGTTCGCAATACAGAATGGCAAACTCTGGTGTGATTTGTCCGGATATCACCAGGGCTAGTTCAGGGTGAATCGTGCGCTTTATGCGGAGGCCACGAACTAGCAAATGTAGGAAGTCTGGTCGTTCCATACAAGCCTTTCTCGTTTAAATCACTTAACATGCTTTATTGGAACTGTGTCATTACTTTAGGTAGTGAACGTTTGCTTTTAAGGTCCATCATCACCGGTCATACATTCTAACATTTCTTGAAATGATTATTCGAACTGGGAGATATTCAAGTGTAAAAACCTTTTCCACATTTAGAAGGCCACGATTATACACGGGCCGTATATTATGCGTAAAGTTCATGGAAGTTTATTTAACTGTCCTCAAAGTCCCAATCAAGAAGCAAAGCCTACTCAGGGGCATAACTACGGGGACACGGGGCATATACCCCACCCCCTGTGGAAGCCGGCCCCAGCCCTCCCCCGCCCCATTTTGAAAACCTGAATTAAAACATTCACTGTAAGTTGTAATAATACGTTTATTTTGCATTTAGTGCAGCCTTTGAAAAACAACAACACGCACCTCAGGTGTCCTACCCCAAGTTAAACCCAAGTTTCTCCGCTGGCTTGAGTACGATTTAATTCCTCATAATCCCGAATATATCCACACAATTTAATAGACTGAAGCGCCAACTGTACATTGAATGAATCACGGCCGGTGTATACGTCACTTGTCTATCCACCAATCACATTTTGTCGGTGACAAGTTGGTGACGACAAGTCGGTGACCACAAGTGAGTGGTCTGTGACTGACAGGTTGTGTGTGTCAATCATAAATTCCATATTTGGATGTGTCACCGACATCCATACAATATCCACCAATAAGAAGCGGCCATTTCAATCGCGGTGACTAGTTTTTATGGTGACTTTATAGCCTCAACGACATTAACACTGCTTTCGTATCATTAATATGAAGCGAGTCGGTGATGTGTGATTGACAGCGCACAGGAGCCATGCAATTACAATCCAGGTCCGAGTTTTTAGTCACTGCTCAGGAAATCGATGGCACTATTTAAGACACGTGGGGCCGTCCACCCTTCACATCAACCGCGGGTCATCAACACCTTTGGACGACAACCAGAGAGAGAACTGACTACAAGAACAAGATTTTGCTCGGTGAGTGTTTGAAACAATCATTTTTCCTCTGAAGAAATGTGTTGTTTTTGCACAATGTGTTTGAATCAATGCGGGATTCAGATTTTGTTGAATGTTGCTGATTCAATGATTCTCAAAACAGCGAGCGCGGTGGTAGGCTTGATATTTTCCCGTCTTTGTGTGCTTGTGAAAATGTGGTAGCTTGAGGACTGAAAAAAAAAACCCAAGATTTTTATGAACAAATTGTTCTTTTTCATTTCACTATGACTCTAATACACGTCTGCTAACAGCAAAACCAGCGCGCTAATTCCGATTCAGAAGTTGTGCCTTTTCCCAACGACCACTTTGGAGTTGATAAAGTATTGCGATAATTTACAAATGTGTTTGAAATTAACTTGTTCAGACGGACTTTGTTTGTGCATAACATTCACTAAGCCCGTCTGAAAGAGTTAATTTCAAACAATTTTGTAAATTATCGAGCTATTTTATTTTAGCTCTTATAATGTAAACAGTTGGTGCGGATGCAGACCACGGTTTTGCGAGTTCAAATTTCAAGGCAATAAAAATGAGGAATTCCTGTCTGGCAATATTTCCGCTACTACTTCCATTGTGCACTCTCAAAAACAAATTGTTTAAATACTTACTGGTTTCTTTACTTCTTGAACAAAAATCATTTGGATTCTTGTCGATATGGATAATACACTACGAAGTCACATTTATGGGTTTTTTTATTTAGGTTCGACTGTTAGGTTGGACTGTTTTCTGACCGCAGTTTTTCGCAAGTATAAAACATCAAGTTCCCTGCTGTGATTCAGAACAGTAATCAAAGATGTATTGATCATTCAAAATAATATTTCAGAGGAACTACAAATCGGTGTTTCAAATTTTCGGTTTAAAAAAAAAGTCTCTCAAAACCTGGACTCTTTATAACCTGGCCAATATTTTTGGCATGATCAAGCACACTCTTATTTTTTGCCTCCTTTTTTCCTATTGACTTTATCGTTTAAATTTCCAAACATGAAATCCTAGTGCAATGTACTCACATTATTTCCGGATATCTTTCAAACTCAATCAGAATGAAAAGTTATGCGGAAGTTGGTTACGGAAGAACGTATACAGGTATCCGGACATCTCAAAATGCCGGTCTTGTTTGTGTTATTATTTGTGGATATTCTCAGTGCCTTTGAACTCTGTTGTTCAACTGGCATTTTGCTATAGTTCACAGTGCGTCATTCCGGTTTCATCAAGTTACTTTTAAGCATTGCAGGATAAAAGTGTCACTGGTCAGAATAGACTAGAGGGCGCAAATACAAACGCACTGGATCATGATGATGCACACAGTTTTATACAAGTTCAATAGCTGGATGCATTTTGTAGAATTCTTGGATAGATTTGATTTTTGGAGAACGCATTTGAGATAAATAGTCAACCCAAATTACATTTTCACTGTACAGACATTTTTTTGGCCGTATTGTACTTGTGGAATTCAGCTATGCCTCCCCACCAGACTCCAAGTTATCTCCTAGAGGATTTTTAATGACTCATATTTTTGTTGGTATTTTTTTCAGCCAGCAATCCGCTCAAGTGTTGAAGAGTGCTTCCGCGAGAGAATTCAAGAACTGTGCTTAGGTAAGTGTCTGTTAAAATTTTCTTCATTCAAACATCAGAATAGAGCGGTGATTCGGTAGGAGACTGTCCCTTTTTTCCTATGCATTTAATATTTTTGATCAAAATTAGAAACCAAAAAACGTCATTCAATTACCTCTACGAAAAAAAATAATCCTGGCCATGATGGTGAGGCTTCTCAATTATCCCTTCTAAAAAAATATCCTCCAAGCCATAGTCTCCTCAATTATCCCTTCTAAAAATATCCTCCTAGCCATGATGGTTAGCCTCCTCAATGATCACATCTAAAAAATATCTTCCAAGCCGTGATGCTTTGTCTGTTCAATAATCTCGTCTAAAAAAAATTCCTCCAAGCCATGATGATTACTATCCTAAAATATTATCCATTCTAAAAAAAAAATAGCTTCCAAGCCGTTATGGTTTGTGCGTTCAATAATTTCTTCTAAAAAAATTATCCCATTCATAATAGTTAGTTTCCTCAATAATCCCTTCTTAACAAATATCCTCCAAGCCATGATGGTTAGTCTCCTTAATTATCCCTTCTAAAACAATATCCTCCAAGCCACAATGGTTTTTATTTCAATAATCCCTTCCAAAAAATCCTCCTAGCCAAGATGTTTAGTCTCCTCAATTTTCCCTTCTAAATTATCCTCCTAAACGTGGTGATTAGTCTCCTCAATTATCCCTTCTAAAATATATCATCCAAGCCATGATGGTTTTCAATTCAATAATCTCTATTAAAAAAAAATCCTCCTTGCAGTGATGATTAGTAGCCTCAATAATTATCCCTTTAGAAAAGATCCTCCTATCCATGATGGTTAGTCTCCTTAATAATTATCACATCTAAAACATATCCTCCTTGCCAGGATGATAAGTCTCCTCAATTATCCCTTCTTCAAAAATATCCTCCTAGCCATGATGGTTAGTCTCCTCAATTATCCCTTCTAAAAAGATACCTCCTTGTCATGAGTGTGAGTCTCCGCAATTATCCCTTCTAGAAAATATCCTCCACGGCAGTTCCACATGCATAGCGCGTACACACAAGAAGGTTCTGTAATGCGTTAGTGCTGTATTTGTGAACTCCAATGATGCCGGTGACGTCACACAACATGGTGCCGTCCGCATACAGAAAAAACATCGATGTTTCGTCTCAAATAATGTCAAAATTAGACACTTTAAAAATATGTTTTATTATCATAAATGACAGGCAATGACGGGATATGATGTTTTCTTTAGGAAATAAATGAGAAAGGGGTATAATTTATATGCTAAGGTGTGTTTTAGGGGAATTTTCGCCAACATTTTTGCAATGCGGGATGAATTTATTCGCATATCGAAGACTTTTAAAAGCCTTCAATAAAAGCGAAACGCAGTTTTTCAGAAGAAATCTTTATGTTGATACCATTATTCAGTTATGAAAATAGCCAAATCATACTTTTTCTTGGTCGGGTCGACATTTTAAAATAAAATATAGACGTTGAAAGTCAGACTACAATTCCAAAGCTTCGCTGAGAATTCGGGCTGCTGCATCGCTGGTTTACGATCTAGTATCCCACTAATACATGCAAACTGGCGCGCGGGTACCAACTGGCCTAGCGCCGCGTGTGTTGTGTACACAAAAGCGCCGTACAACGTGTACACATGTACATGTACATTGTACATGTGTACGTACGTAAAACCATCGCATTCGGGACGATCGCAAGACATTGAAAAAAAAAATGCATAAAATGCAAAACAGATTACATAGAAATAAAGAACCGTCTATATTTGTCTTTAGATGAAAACACTCACTGTGGACAAAATAAACACACAATCCGAAATTCACAAATGTTTAGTGTACAGTGAGTGAGTGTTGTACAGCATATTAAAGCAGCACAATCCAAAACCAAGCATGAATTTGCCATCAGTATAGCTAGACACTCTATCCTGTTAATTTTCTGGGGGAAGTTGCTGACAATTAATTGGATCTATAGCTTAAACAAAACAATAACAAATGGGTTTTTGTTTGGCAATAAACGCATTCTTTATTTCACAACCAATCCATATCATTTTTTTTTTTAAGTTTCATTTACAGAATTAAGTGAAACTTCACAACAGCCATATTTTACAAGTAAATAAAGTGCACATGTAATGCAGGCATGAACTCAACTAGTGAAATCAGGTTTGGCAAGTTATAAAACTATGAAAAGTCTGAAAAATTAAGTAGGGTAGTTGCAGTTGATTCAAGAAAGTGATTCAAAAATTTAACTTTATGAAAGGGCAAATGGATTTAAGCATACCCTCACACCTGAAGACAGTAAAGGTTTTTTATATTTATTTATTATTAATATTTTGTTGGAGAAAGGAGCTTGCACTGCAGTTCAACTGCACTATTTCATAAGTGGTGGTGATGGCAATTTCAGGTTTCAAATTTTCGCTTAATTAAAATTTCACATACGTATGTGTACACGTACCTGGATGACCTGCACCCGCAGATTTACAAAGCACTACATCGCTTCACAATTTGATGCAAACACAGTCCACTGTGAAGTTCTTTTCCAGTGTGAATGCATCATACATCGTCAATTTTGTTAAATATTTTTGAAAAGTTTTCACAAGTACAATCGACGACTCTTTGTTGACTTTTCGACGACTATTTACTGTTCTTTGAATAAATACATAACATGAAAATACATGAACATGTACATGTAGTCACCTTTTGTCCTCTGAAAACACTACGACGTGTCGCACTTACAGCATATTTTGTAAAATGAATCACAGGATGCGTCATCCTAGGGATACAACGATGCATCGTAGGTTACAATTAGTTTCATGAAATCAGGTACAGATTGTCATCGTCACTACGAACGACACTCTCGCACCCGTGTGTGCGCTGTACGCGCGCGTGTTTACAGAACCGGGATATTTTGGGTTTTACGAACTGATATCCGCCACAGTGCGGCATTTTTAGAGCGCACCCCGTACATTTTTGTTTTCACGAACTGACACCCAAGCATGATGCGGCAATATCCGTGTACTTGTGCGATTATACATGTACAAATTTTTCATTAAAAGCGATTGCATTGGTAAAATTAAGATCAGTGTCAGTTCGTGAAACCGAAAATGCATGGGTGCGCTCTAAAAGTGTTGCACTGTGGGGGATGTCAGTTTGTGAAACCCAAAATATCCCGAATCTGTAAATACTCAAGTGTGCGCAAGTGTCAGTTTGTGGTGACATTGACAAGATATATACCATCTGAAATGGCAATAAGGACAAAACAGAAACTGTCCTGATCAAAGATTACCTCCAGTTATCTCCTAAATTCCCAAACTATCTCAATTCTCTCAACCCCCCCAACCCCCCCCCCCCCCCCCCCGGCAGTAAGATATTCATTATGAAATGTTTACGTCAACTATGTTATTCAAGCATCTGGGACAGGGAGGCAGCGAACAGACTACACCTACCACTCCCAATTCAGATCACACTAAAAGTATTTGTACATGTACTCCACACCATGGACTATTTAGAAAGGTTCAGAGTGGGGGTTGGGCTGTTTGAATGAACATGGCCATGTCATGGCATGGTCAGGAACTGATACGGAGTTCAATTGCAATGGGTGGGTAGTACAGATCAGATGCTCGTCCATTATACCCGGCCATGCATGTCGTTGCCATCTTCAATCCAGAAATAGGAGGAAACTCTTCAAAACCTGAAAGCACAACAAGAATATAACAAATGGAACAAAGTCAAAGGGATACTTTGAGATGCATGGTGACAGCAAATACACCAGTCCTTTTCTGGTGTTGACGTCAATTTGAACATGTGCACATTAGGTTAAATGTGACGTAAAAAAAATGAAAAGGACAGGTAAAAGGAAGCGTCTCAAAAGTCTCTGTTGAAAATTATTGCCAGGTTATTTTCAAGATTGTTGTCTGTGCCTTTGCTGGGATTTTCTTGCATTGAATATGAGTGTTAAAAACTGTAGAAGATAAGAAAGTTTCATATTTTATCTTTTTCTATAGGCACAGACATACATGTACAATGTACATGTAAACATGTACTTGTACATGATGTATGTACATGCATGTACATACATGCCATGATCAATTTCTAAGTAAAATAATATCAAGATGCTCACCGATGAAAATTGTCAAATTTTCTGAAGGTATCCTTCGTCAGGGCAGGGTACGTCATCTGCGTGTCATGGTGGAATGCCGTACACTCCGCATAAGAAGAACTGTAGGCAAACCTCCTCCACAGCGTCCGAGAGACAACCCATAGGTCTAGATGGCAAATTAAAGTACACATTCAAGTTCATGTACAGTAACGTGACGTTTGTGTTTGTACACAACGAGAACAAGAGCATGCATTACATGGGTTTCGAGTAAACTCCGTACCCAACCACCACAAGACTGTTACCGACTCGGTCCCTAACAGACGGGTCTGATCGTCTGAGACAGCATGGCCAACTCAGTTCCACTTCCAGGTCAACTTGGTCCCAGGTACAAATGTATAAAAGCAGGGTTTTTCCTTAGCGGTCGCCCGCTCGCCAAATGCGAGTGAAAACAGCGGCGGGCGAGTCAAAACCCTCCTCTCAGTAGTCCGACGGGCGAGTCAAAAAACTGTTTAAGAAAAATAAAACTAACGAAGTTTTCCCTACAGTATTTTTCAATCAATCAAAATAAAAAGTTAAGGGTGGTACAACACATGAATACTTTTGCCACGCCGACCGAAATAAAAACATCGGTAGTTCGAATTCGTATCACTCCATGTATATTCGCAGTGCGCTGTGCATTGAAATCCCAACGACGAACATGAGGAGAATCAACGTGTATTTGCAATTACACATTGTGCACACATGCAGCGACGTGATTTACTTCGTCTGCAGTCCACACGGTACGGACGTACGTACGTTAACATCGTATTCGTATCATACAACGTGGTGAGGAGAAAACTTTCATGACAGTTTCACTGCCAAAACTTGTGCCCGAACGGATTCTTGGGATGATTTCTTGAACACTATCAAACGAATGTACCGAAAAGATGAGGACAATATGAGATTCGAGGGGCCTATTTTGAATGTAGACTAGTGAATGTAAAGTGGACCGTGCTCCGGAAAACGTTATGGATTGACGTGACCAGCGTAAGTTCGTGGGTCGCCCGCCCGCAGCGCTTCTTGGCTTGGCACGCTGATTGCACCATTCTTCGCTAGAAATGCATGGCGCGCGCGAGAGATGTTTTTTTTTTTAAATACTGGCCTTCTCACTCATTTTCAAACAAGTTAAAACAGTTCAGTTACTAACTTGGTAAACTCCCATTAATACCACGACTGTGTGCAATGTTTTCTTTTTCCTCAAGATAACGCTTTTTTAGTTCGTGTTTTATCAAAACATGTCGGAAATAGAACACCTAAAGCCTTAAGTTCGGAACGAAGGACACTGCATAAATTTTGATTATAACTTCTCCCCCTATTTGATTCCTGTTAATTAAAGCCTTGCTCTATGTTAAAGCACGATTAAAGAAACATTGACATCACTTAAAAAGGAACTACATGCAATATTATGTACATGATTAAGATAATTGCCGAAGGCATATTGCATAATTTATTATCAAAAATGTTATCAAAAATGCTTATGGTGATTTGATTGAAAGTTACTATTAAACCATGTGGGCTAGTGAAAAAGGTTGCGGGCCAGTGAAAACTCTGGTTTACTGGCCCGGCCGGCCAGTAAAGAAAAAGTTAAGGAAAACCCCTGATAAAAGTCGGTCCAATGTCAACTAAGGGGGTAAGTCTCAAGTCATTTTAGTCCCAGGTCAAATTTGAAATTATTGGAAAAAAATACTCTACAAAAAAAGTACAATTATATGACTAAGTGAGGGCAAAAAAGAAATAGCCTAATGTATTGACGGCTCTGGCAATGTAACCTACATATAGGGCCTATATGTCAAATCCTTTGTTTACGCATTTAGAACATACATATACAGTACACAGTTTCCTTAAGAAGTTTTCAAGAACAATGTCAGGCTCCTGCCTGCAAAGAATGACCTCCATTCCTCCATCATCATTCATGTTCCTGCATGATGCATGCCATTGCCAGCAAATCCTGACCACGCTGACTAAAATTTACATGAAATTTAAAAATCATAATGAAATTGGAGGATTCAGGACTGTTACTGTTAGGATTAAGGAATGCATTGTGATTATTTATTACGAATACGATTTTCTGGGTAATTGCAACTAGCAAGGCACACTGGGCAGAACTATTTCTTAGATGAAAGTCTTCTACATACACGAGTAATTGCGTCGTCCAAATGTGCGTGCTGTGGGATAGCTCAAGGCGCCTACGCTACGACTGTTTCATGTACGACATTACTGTAATAACTTCCTGTCATGGCGCGGCGTACGTACACAAAATCCTTGTGTCGCAGGCTAAAAACAAGGAGAAACTACAAAAACTACATCTTCTGAGCAGAATAAATACTAGTCCGATTAACTTGGAACCAACTTATCGCCTTTTTTTAACATTTGGACATGGTCTGGCGATAGTGGGGTCCAAGCTAATACCGCGACCTGGACAACATCATCCTGTCACTGTCCCAAAAACCAACATTTCCAACAAAAAAACATCAGATTTCACCTTCAAAACGGCCTTCAAATTACTAGATATGCCACCTGAGGTTCAAGTAGACATCGATAATTAAGATGGTTGTACTGAAGTTCCCCTCGCGATCTTGAACACATTAAATTTCCGATCGTGTTTAATGTTTGAACGACGCGATTTCTTCTACATGCCCAGCGTACATTCGATGGTCCCCGTATCCCGAGTGCGATTCCGTTACCGAGCGCGCGCGACGCATCGATTATGATAATGAGTAGACTGGATCACGTTTGTAAAAACATGTGCATTTCAAACGAAAAATAGGGAGTCGGGAACTAGCGCAGCTTTTATGGCGGTTACAGTTCGAAATGCAGTTCGAAATGTACATGTACAGTGTATGTGTTTACAAACGTGACTCATTATCATAATCGATGCATCGCGCGCGCTCGGTAACGGAATCGCACTCGGGATACGTGGACCATCGAATGTACGCTGGGCATGTAGAAGAAATCGCGTCGTTCAACCATTAAACACGATCAGAAATGTAACCTGTTCAAGATCGCGAGGGGAGCTCTCCGAAATGAACGGAAAATTTCACTTTTTTCCGAATCGTAAGTAAACTTCAGTACAACTATCTTAATTATCGATGTCTTCTTGTACCTCAGGTGGCATATCTAGTAATTTGGAGGCCGTTTTGAAGGTGAAATCTGATGTTTTTTGTTGGAAAATGTTGGTTTTGGGGACAGTGACAGGATGATGTTGTCCAGGTCGCGGTATTAGCTTGGACCCCACTATCGCCAGACCATGTCCAAATGTTAAAAAAGGCGATAAGTTGGGTCCAAATTACTCGGACTAAAATCGTACCAGGTCACAAGTCACACGCTGCATAAAAAAAAACACACATTATCATAATTTGTGCACGCTAGATGGCAACTGTCGACCGTACATAGCTTCATTGATGGTTTGTAAAGCCTTATTTGGTAACTGTTGCATATTCATTTTAATAAACCAATCAATTTTTATATCTTTCGCGGGGTATTTAAATCCACCAACGAAACAAAGGAATCGCTGCGCGTAAGGTTTATTTACATCGCGCTAGGCTGTCACTTGGTATTACCACTAACTCCATCTCGCCAACAGAGGGCGTACTTTTTTATGCGTGAAACTGCCGGTGTAGCGTGAATATCGGTAACATAAAATGGCACGACAGTAGAGCGCGTGATGAATATGCATGACTATGACGTCACTCTTTCTACTGTCGCGCCGCCACCTCTAGTGTCGTCCCACTAACCAATGATATAACATTTAACAAGTCCTTTTTCTACTGTCGCGCCGCCACCCTCTAGTGCCGTCCCACTTACCAATGATATCACATTTAACAAGTCCTCTTTCTACTGTCGCGCCGCCACCCTCTAGTGTCGTCCCACTTACCAATGATATCACATTTAACAAGTCCTCTTTCTACTGTCGCGCCGCCACCCTCTAGTGTCGTCCCACTTACCAATGATATCACATTTAACAAGTCCTTATTCTACTGTCGCGCCGCCACCCTCTAGTGTCGTCCCACTTACCAATGATATCACATTTAACAAGTCCTCTTTCTACTGTCGCGCCGCCACCCTCTAGTGTCGTCCCACTTACCGATGATATCACATTTAACAAGTCCTCTTTCTACTGTCGCGCCGCCACCCTCTACTCTTGCCCCACTAACTGATGATCATCAAGTGGGACGACACTAGAGGAGGCGGCGCGACAGTAGAAAGAGGACTTGTTAAATGTGCTATCATCGGTTAGTGGGACGACACTAGAGGGTGGCGGCGCGACAGTAGAAAGAGGACTTGTTAAATGTGATATCATCGGTGGGATGCAGCACATACAGTGTGCATCTACATGTATATCTATCAGTACCGTGCGTGATATATTACTCATGAGCTTCTAGTGACGTCATAGTCATGCATATTCATCTTGCGCTCCTACTGTCGTGCCATTTTATGCTACCGTGAATATCCGAATCCATGAAATGTGGACTCATTGGTAGTACTGCGCACGCGTGAGTAAGATACTATGCTATTTTTAGGATCGTTTCGTGAGAGTGACCTGTCACGTGCGAGGGATCAACCAATAATAGGGAAATAGGGGTCCGATTTTCATAGGAGTCGGATTTTCATGTGACACCGTAATGATGGTTAGTCACTTCAATTATCTCTTCTAAAAATATCCTCCAAGCAATGATGGTTTTCATTTCAATAATCCCTTCTTAAAATATCCTCCTAGCCGTGATGATAAGTCACCTCAATTATCCCGTTAAAAAAACCCTCCAAGCCGTGGTGATGAGCCTCCTCAATTATCCCTTTTAAAAACAAATATCCTCCAAGCAATGATGGTTAGTCTCCTCAATGATCACATCTAAAAAAAATCCTCCAAGCATTGATGGTTTGTCTGTTCAATAATCTCGTCTGAAAAATATTCTCAAAGCCGTGATGTTTTTTATTTCAATAAGCCCTTCTAAATAAAAAATATCCTCCTAGCCATGATGAGAAGTCTCCTCAATTATTCCTTCTCAAAAATCTCCTCGTCTCCTCAAAAATCTTCCAAGCCGTGATAGATTGTGTGTTCAATAATCTCTTCTAAAAATATCCTCCTAGCCATGATGGTTTGTCTCCTCAGTTATCCCTTCTAAAAATATCCTCCTAGCCATGATGGTTAGTCTCCTCAATTATCTCTTCTAAAAATATCCTCCAAGCAATGATGGTTTTCATTTCAATAATCCCTTCTTAAAATATCCTCCTAGCCGTGATGATAAGTCACCTCAATTATCCCGTTAAAAAAACCCTCCAAGCCGTGGTGATGAGCCTCCTCAATTATCCCTTTTAAAAACAAATATCCTCCAAGCAATGATGGTTAGTCTCCTCAATGATCACATCTAAAAAAAATCCTCCAAGCATTGATGGTTTGTCTGTTCAATAATCTCGTCTGAAAAATATTCTCAAAGCCGTGATGTTTTTTATTTCAATAAGCCCTTCTAAATAAAAAATATCCTCCTAGCCATGATGAGAAGTCTCCTCAATTATTCCTTCTCAAAAATCTCCTCGTCTCCTCAAAAATCTTCCAAGCCGTGATAGATTGTGTGTTCAATAATCTCTTCTAAAAATATCCTCCTAGCCATGATGGTTTGTCTCCTCAGTTATCCCTTCTAAAAATATCCTCCTAGCCATGATGGTTAGTCTCCTCAATTATCGATCTAAAAATATCCTCCTAGCCGTTATGATTAGTATCCTCAATTATCCCTTCTCAAAAAATATCTTGCAAGCCGTGATGGATAGTGTGTTCAATAATCTCTTCTGAAACATATCCTCCAAGTCAAGATGACAAGTCTCCTCAATTATCCCTTCAAAAACTATCCTCCTAGCCATGATGGTTTTCATTCAATAATCCCTCTGAAAAATATCCCCCTAACCGTGATGAATAGCCTCCTTAATTATCCCTTCTAAAAAAATATCCTCCAAGCATTGATAGTTAGTCTCCTCCATTATCCCTTCAAAAATATCTTCCTAGCCGTGATGATAAGTCTCCTCAATTATCCCTTCAAAAGAATATCCTCCGAGCCATGATGGTTTTCATTCATTAATCCCTCTGAAAAATATCCTCCTAACCGTAATTATAAGTCTCCTCAATTATCCCTTCTAAAAAAATATCCTCCAAGCAATGATAGTTAGTCTGCCCCCATTATCCCTTCAAAAATATCTTCCTAGCCGTGATGATTAATCTCCTCAATTATCCCTTTAAAAATATATCCCCCTAGTCATGATGGTTAGTCTCCTCATTTAGCCCTTCTAAAAAATATCCTCCAGGCCATGATGGTTAGTCTCCTCAATGATCACATCTAAAACATATCTTCCAAGCCGTGATGGATAAATTGTGTGTTCAATAATCTCTTCTACAAAAATATCCTCCAAGCCATGATGGTTTTTATTTTAATAATCCCCTCTATAAAAAAACCTTCTAGCCGTGATGATTAGTCTCCTCAATTATCCCTTCTAAAAATATCCTCCGAACCATGATGGTTTTCATTAAATAATCCCTTCTAAAAATATCCTCCTAACCGTTATGATAAGTTTCCTCAATTATCCCTTCTCAAATATCCTCCTAGCCATGATGGTTAGTCTCCTCAATTGTCCTTTCTAAAAAAAATAGCCTCCTAGCCGTGATGATTAGTCTCCTCGATAATCCCTTCTTAAAATATCCTCCTGGCCAGATGGTTAGACTCCTCAATTATCCCTTCTCAAAAATACCTCCTTGTCATGAGTGTTTGTCTCCTCAATTATCCCTTCTAAAAATATCTTCCAAGCAATGATGGTTAGTATCTTCAATTATCTCTTCAAAAATATCCTCCAAGACGTGATGGCTAGTCTCCTTAATTATCCCTTATGAAAATATCCTCCTGGCCATGATGATTAGTCGCCTCAATTATCCCTTCTAAAACAAAATGCTCTCTGATGAATATTTTGAGTTTCTGAGACACATTCGATTGACACTTGACAAACAGATGGTATGTCTGGGAACAAAAGCTTTTGCCTGAGGCAATGTCCACAACATTACAAAAAGTGGGAACGCCCCCATTTCTTTGTAAAGTTATAATTCGAAGTAAATTTGACCGTGATGAATCGTTTGAAATAACCGATGACGTCATGATGCCGTCACAACTTTTTCCTTAATATTTTGGACCAGGGTTCAAGTTCATCCTTTTTCCTTGATCCGTTTCGAAGGAATTAGATTTGTTTTTAATTAAAGGTTAATTGTTTGCATAAATCTTTAATTTAACCGGGATAACCCCGGAAGGAAAGGTCAGACGACTTTGTTTTCGAAAATCAGAAATGTTTATCAAGGTATCATCTATCAGATTATAAAGTGTAAACATGATTGTTCTTTTTGTCAATAAGCTTGTGGCATTGAAATCGTTTGTAATTTGATACCTGGTGGCGTCATTATGACGTCAGAGTTATATACTCACTTCGGATTCAGGGTTGGTGTTTGTTCAAGGTTTCCAGTTTATACCATATGTACCGTTGAGGAAAAAAATCGTACAGAATTATTGCCTGGAATAAAAAAGAAGGAAGAAAAAAAAAGGAAAGAAAGGGATAAAATAATTCTTACCATTTCAAAACCGTGATCGGGTCGTACACGATCACACAAACATATCAGGTTTTTGTTGTTTGGAATGAGGAATTCCTGTCTGACAATATTTCCGCTACTACTTCCATTTTGGACTCTCAAAACGAAATTGTCGAAATAATGACTGTTTTCTTTACTTCTTCGCAAACTCATTTGGATTCTTGTCGCTATGGATAGCGAACTAAATTTTTGGAATATGTTATTGTCAACAACACGGTTGTTCAGGTTCGACTGGTTTTGATCACATTTTGGCTGCATTTTTTTGTCAAGGGTACAGTACATCAGGTTCCCTGCTGTGATTCAGAACAGTTGAAATTGATCGTGATTCGTACTGATTCCAAATACTTTACGCACTTGTGATTTACATCAGGTTCCCCGCTGCGATGTTACTTTATTATTTTAATTGTCAAACATGAAATCCTGGTTCGATGTACTCACACTTTTTCCGGCAATGAGAGTCTTTTGGACATTTTTTGACATGAGATCGATTAATTAAAGCAGAATATGTATGCTCCTTAATTGTGACTCCTGCAACTTCAAATTCGAGCAATGTTGAACAATTAAGAGGAACATAGGATCTTTTGCCCTTGGTGTTTTTTTTTGTTAAAAGCAACAAAATTGATCAAAATCTGAAGTATAGGGTGTATATCTAGTAACCTGTTGCAATTTCAGCGCATTCTATACTTTTGAGAAAAGAGAAAACGCAGTTTCGAAGGTTTGCGGAAATGTAATCGGGAAAAATGGACCGCTCGACTAAACTAAATAAAACTAAATGCTGGGGGAACTCACTTAAGAAAACCTAATTAATCTAATGATCGAATAGGGTAAAGACGCGAGGAAATGCAAGAAGTGGGACAGTGACTCAAAATGTAGGTTTCCTCAATAAACAAAAATAAGAAAAATAACTTTATTGATACTAAAGCAATGACCAAAAGCCAAACCAGTGTAACCTTAACCAAGACCAACACACAGTAAAACTATTTAACGAAACCCAGAATTGAAACAATTAAAAACACAGTGCCAAAGAAAGTTACAGATTAAAATCAAAATGTCTTTCAAACCTGTTAAATAAAACAACAAAAAATACAATCGATTAATATACACTTCTTCAATCAAATTTAAGAAACACAAAGTCTTAAACATTGAATCCAAACTAAGTTTATAACAAAAGATACTTCCAAGTCCGATCTTTAAAATACAACTTTAGAAATGAAATTCCAAAGAAATAAAGGAATAATATGATTGTAAACAACTGATTCTTCTCAGAACCACACAACTCAAAATTATTCACATGGTGTTACCGCAAACCTTATATTCTTTTTTACATGTTTACCATGCAAACATACAAGTCTCATTTAAGAGTAAACGTATGCACAACTGGATGCCGTTGCTTACACACGCAAAAGAGTGTGCCAGCCGGCACACTATTTTAAAAACAGCAAAGCCTTCATTTTACTTATTTTATTTTACGCTTAATCAGGCGGAATAATTTTACAGGTTGTTTGAAACCAGTTCTATTGTGAAGTACACTTTCTGTACATGTGCAAGTGATCTTAACTAATTTTAACTTGTTTTTTTCTGTATAGATGTTTCTCAAAAAAAAAAACCACCGCCCGTACGTGAGTCTAGTCAGGGCCGTTGATGAACGAATTCCTACCGGAATAAATAATCAATCCAAATCACATTTCACCCGACAGAGATTTTTTGCGGCGTTTTACTGATACAATTCAGCTATGCCTCCCCCACCACCCCCCAAGTTATCTCCCATCTGACTTTCAATGACTCGTTTTTGTTGATATTATTTTCAGCCAGCAATCTGCTCGAGTGCTGAGGATTCCTTTCGTGAGAGAATTCAAGAACGTTACACTGATTCAGGTGAGTATCTGCTATTTGACATATCCTCACACAACTGTCAGAATTGAGCGTTTATTTAATGGCAGACTTTATCTTTTTGTGTGCATCGATAAACGTTGTTGTCAAAACTGTAACAGAGAACGTCCTTGAAGGAAATTTATCATTAATATAGGTTTCCCGATCGAATTTGTCCAATGTGCATTCAAATTCAATTTCCTTTATTCAAAGTAAGGATTGCATACCCCTTACTATTCAAAATAGATTTGTTTCTCTTACGAATTGTCGATGTGTATATGTGTTTTGTTTATTAAGGTAAAAACAACTACTTTGATCCGATTTTGGGCGTCTGCATGCCAAAGGAATTTTCATTTTTTGCGCACAATTGAACCCGCCCTGCGAGAAGCGAATTATTATCTGACAGCCAATAATTTAAAGTTTGTGAAGCAATAATTCAGTAACTAAACTTTGTCGGATTTTTTTCCGTTCCATTACTAATTCAAAAGTAAATATATTATATATTTTCAGAAAAATAGCAATTGAAATCAAATTGTGGAGGTAAAACTCGAAGATAGTACGGGAACTGCATCTTTAAACTAAAGCAATGTTGATAATACAGACACTCAAACCGTTGCTAGACATGCCATTTTTTGTATAGCAACACCATCAATTTAGATTTCATTCTCAGACAATCAGATTCCTCGTCAAATTCACCAGGGTGCCTCGAACTAATGGCGAAACACGCTAAGTTTAATTGTCATTTTGTTTTATCTATTCACAATTAGGCCCCAAAAAATAATAAGTCGGTCTCTGGTCAGCGCGCGCGTCGATTTTAATCATGCGCGTCGATCTTTTTTTTTTCCAAAATGTTCCGCGGTAGCTCCAACAGCGCCCTCTATTTCCGCACCTCCTCAATGTGTTTTTAACCAAAGAGCACCAAGGAATGGGAAATTGCACCAAGGCAAATCATGGAGGACACCAATGTACATGAGGACACCAAAAAAGCAAAATAGTACCCACCTTGTCTGTACAATCCAAGCTTGAAGAAAAAAAAAAAAGCAAAAAAAAAAAAAAAGCCGCGTGGCCGCGTCAATTCCGGAACTTTGGTCTGACCAGAGACCGATTTTTTTTTTTTTTGGCCTTAGATTCGCAAAAGTAAAAAAATAACTTAATGAAAATAAGTATTGATTGCATCAATTGCTAGTTATTGTTTAAGCGGATTAGTTAGCATGTATATACATGTAATGTTATATTCTTAATCATGTTCTCATGATTTACTAAATTGTGTCCGCAATTACCGTTCTAATTCTTTGTTGTTCGTTGATCACGATGTTATTCGTTTGTGATTGTTTATAACGTCAGTGAATCATAATATAGTTTTCCCATCCAATTTCGCAACTTACTCATGAAGTCGCAATGTTTACTCTTCAAATGGTCGCAGTTAGAGCGTTCGATTTTTTGGGATATTTACAACAACAAAAGGCGTGTGGACAGCATTTTTCGTGCTAAAAAAGATGCAGGCGATTTGAATAAACGTTTCAATAGAAATATTGGACTAATTTCAAGTATCAGTCAATGTCGTGAGAAATCCCGGACAATGTGCCATAAAAACAATTTGTGCCATCAAAATTAAATGAGAAAAAAACTCACGAGTTTATCTAAATTGAATAATAAAATATTATTTCTTACTAAAGTATAAAAGGTAATCAGTGTTCCTTCGTATGTTTTTCAGCCTTCACTGAACTCCTTGTGATCTCTTCTTGGACCTGATCTTCAAGAACGAACCATCGAGGTGGGTGTGGTGATGTTTAATTAATTATTCTATAAGGACCTGGAGAGGGGCAAAATGTGCTCCGCCTCCCCCCCCCCCCCCCCCCCCCAAAAAATACTACAGCTCCAATGCGCTTTATCCTATCGGCATGCAATTTGGAGATCTTTATTAAACAATTCAATGGGTTGCCATGGCAACCAATTTTAAAAATTAAGCTTTTCATCAATTCCAGCCCCCTGATACGTCACTGTTATCACGAAGAACACATTCTCTGAACAGCGATTTCTTCAATCTCATGTTTTGTTTTGTTTTCAAATCCGATTGTCATGAGTTAGACTAACTCTGCAGTTTATCTGACATCAATATTTTTCTCGAAAAAAACGGTTGCAACCTGACGCCACTTCCGCGATTGTGTACAAAGTTTATGGAGGATCAAGAAAAGTATTTCCTAACAAAAATGGAAATGTTTCTCAGTCCCAGATTCATGTCTGATCATCATTTTTGCAATGAATGACCTTCATTGAGATGATATAATAAAGAAAAAAGTGACGTCAAGTTACAATATTTTTTCCTTTTTCTGTACTCGTCGCTATTTTTTTTAACTATTTTATTTAAAAGAAATTCTCACCTGATTTGTTTCAGTTTAATCATTGTTATTCTGTACAGAATGAAGATCTTCGTGGCAACCGTTCTTTCAATCGCCCTCCTTCTGGGTAACTCCGTCAACCTCCGAGCTTCCGTTACTGGGCCGGTTGTCTCGGACGGCGATGGTGCGTCTCAGGCGGGCCAAACGTGCTGCCAGAAAACAGCTGCAATTGTAGGAATTTTACAAGGGTCAAAGGGTGATGCAGGTGAGCCAGGACCGTTTGGGCCTCCGGGTGTACGAGGAGCACCGGGTGTCAAAGGTCAGAGGGGACTAAAGGGTGATGTAGGCATCGATGGTCACGGTCAGATCGGGCCGATTGGCCCTCAAGGTGACACTGGGCCTAAAGGTTCAGTCGGGCAAACCGGCCTGACTGGTGTCAAAGGTCAAAAGGGTGAGCCAGGGGAGACACCAGACGACTCCAACCAGCGGGTAGCATTCACCGTGGTGAGGACGAGCAGCTCGGATACGCTTAGCAACGACCGTTTGCCGTTCCAGGAGACCGAAACGCTTCTGCCGGGTACCAGCTTCGATCTCGAGACCGGCACGTTCACGTGTGGTGTGCCGGGCACCTACGTGTTCATGTTTTCTGTGTGCAAATATTCTTCCAGCAGCCACCTGCGCGTTTATCTCCGGAGGAACGGCGACGTGGTTGTCACTGGCGATAGCAATGATTCAAGTCACAATGAGCAGGTGTCTGGGAGCGCGGTGGTGGTTCTGCAGCGTGGAGATACGATGTATCTCACCATGCTGGGTAGGGCGGTTGGTGGTTCCAATCACTACACCTCATTCAGTGGCTTCCTCCTTTACCCCGAATAAACAAAACAATCCAACACATAAAGATACACGAGCATCGTGTTGCTGATTTTTTAAAATCGCTTTCCATATTTGCCGAAACAATAACCAATGAATTAAAACAAATAATGTTCAACTTATGACAATGTCACAAAATATTATTATTAATGTTTTTGCATTGCGCATGCTTCAATGGATTTGCCATTTGGTTTTTTTGACTTTTTGCAAAACAAAATAATTAGCTTTATATGCATGAGTATTGAGATATAGTGAAAAGTATGCGTTAAGTTTTTTGACGACGATTTTTTGTACCCATTATTGTAGACCTATCGAGAAGTATTTTGATGGAATATATTTTTTCAAAGCAAGCTGGGTCATCATTATTTTTTTTTAGAAACAAAAGGTTTGCAATAAAGCAGTGCCACCATGTATCCAGCTCCAGAAATGTTAGCAACTAAAACAAATTGTGTTTATGGTGTTATCTCGACCAATCTGGATTTTTTAGGCCATGTTTCTGACCGCCATTTTTTTATTGCAACATTTGGTCAACATATACAATAAAATGTTTTTTTTTCCCGAAAATAAATGCAACTTATTTGTAGTATTGGGTATTTAAAACAGAATAATTAAACACAATAACTGTATCTTAAAGCAAACAAAGTATAAAAGACATACAGACAAACAAACAAAATATTTTGCTACCTACCTGGATAATTTTAGGGCGTTTACTGTAACATGTTATTTTCTTCGCCTTATGTTCCCTGTATGCCCAGCACAGGTAATGTCAATTAAGTAAATCCCATGTATGTATCAATTTTTATTTCATGTTACGAAAAAAGTCTCGAGTGATTAAACCTGATTTTCGTATAGACTTTAAGCTTGGCATTTGGATTAACAATTTTTTGAAATATCCTAATGCTATTCACAGCAATTAGAATACACTGGTTTTTATTAAATGATTGCATTATTTTAAACGTTATAATATGTGAAAATTATGTAAAAGTAACAATTTACTGGCTATGAAAACAGTATGCATAAAACCTCATTCTGAGGATTACCAAAAGCACCACCACTGTTGATAAATACTCTCTTTTTTTCGCTTGGCTTCGTTATGAAAAAAAACCCACATGATTTTAATTACTTTCAGTTGAAACAGAATCGTGCCCACAGTAATGAGAAAAGTGGAGTTGGCTGTTGTTTTTAAAGCCCGTAAAAGTGTGACAAGTGTTTCTTGATTAAAAGACTCCAAATTATTTGAAGACTTTTATTGTTCTGAATCAGTATTACTTGATTGCATTCAAGAAACTCACTTTGAAAACATCAGTGAAAGTGTGAGCCCGTTGGATGGTAAAGAAACAATCTCAACGAAATCAATCACAACAAAGTACAAATTCCATTCAAGTGAGGAGGGTCTTTCAACTGGTTGGAATTGTCCTTTGGCACTTTATCATTTCAAGTGAATTTCTTTGTATTGACTTTTATTTGGATGCCATATTTGGTCAGGTGATGCAATTAAGTCCCCTGCTGACAGCATATCCTTGGATAATGTCTCCAGCCAGCACATGTACATGTAGGCTGAACAAGTACGCTTCCTGGGAATAGGTAGACTCCTGCAAGAAATCAAAGAAAAGTTTATAATGGACCCTTCCTGCATGTCAATCAACAGTGCACATTGGCCAATCAGATCACCACTTTTGATCAGGTGACCACAGTAGCTCAGTCAGACTGGTTCACAAGCACTGTTAGATCTATTGCTCAGCCCGCCCCCATTTTTTGCACCAGCGGTTAACACCCCCCCCCCCCCCCCCCCCCCCCCCCCCCCCCCCGAGTGTTCTGTAAAGAGTGGCCTTTTTACACAAGTAACTTTTATATTTTTACACAAGTGTCTTTAGTTTTGTTTAGAAAGTTTCTTGTTTCGCCAGCGGCTTGTAAAGAATTTTTGGTATTTCGTGTAAACGTCAGCAATTGTGCCGCCATGAAAAGCGCCACCCATTGACCTACCGCCGTTTGCGAATTAACCACGCCCCTTAGACAACTCTATAAGCCGTTTCGCGGATACCGTCATCTTTGAATTATTTTTTTCGAGGGGGGAGGCATTTCAGTGAAAATACGTCTCATCATGCAACTGTAGCTGAGAATGATGGGATGACTTTTCATTGTAATGCCCCCCCCCCATTTCAAAGATGGCGGTATCCGCGAAACGGCTCATGGAATTTTGTACGTTAATTTTTGTTTGTCTCAGATTTTGGCATTCTGCGTCCATTTGTATATCATGTTTAGACAATATTTCACAAGCTGCGTTGACGCAATTCCACCGTGATAGGTTAATTGTCCGATTGTGCCCATTATCGCCGGTTTGAAAAGCACCCCATAGGAAGATGGTACCCAGCCCCGTCCCCCTACGCCCCGCTTTTTGATTTTACGGAGGCCGGGGGACTAGTGAAAAAAAACCTATATACATGTACCTTCAGCATGAATTGGCGAGTGCCCTTTTCATGTCTTAACGACCCCCCCCCCCCCAATAAAAACAACCTGGCTTAAAATCGTGCAATCTCTATACATTAAAAGTAATTTTCACAGCTCTCAAATAGCGAGCGTGTGGTTTTACAGTGGTGGATCTATAGGTGGTCACCCCCCCCGCAAATAATCAAAACATTATCCAGACCCACCCCCCATACCTGACATCGCACCCCCCAGCCAAAGCTAGATCCACCCCTGTTTAGGATTTCACGCTAGTTTCTGCTATAGTGTGTAGGTTTGTGTAATTGTGAAGTAAGTGACCTTAGATTAGCCACTCATTATTTTCATGGGAATTGCCAACACTACAACAGACATTTTTGCATGACACTTAGAAATTACGGCTTTTGAAAAAAGCCTAAACAATCAGAGAGGATTACTTCTGTGCTTACAGGGATAGCGCAGGATTTCTGTGCTAGCGTGCTGTAAGCACAGAATGAGGATCATAAGCACAGAATTGTATGCTTAAACCATGAAATTGAGTCTATTGAGTTAGTAGTGGCTTTGCGTACTTACATGACAATGAGCTGAGACTCCTGGGAATGTTGGAGGAGCAATTCACGGATCTGCATCTCTCTGTTGGTCTGAAAGAAAAAAAAATTCATGCAAAAAATGGAGTGATTTATTTATTTTTTAATAATGTCGAGTTCCATGCACTTGGCAAATCAAATGAACTGAGAGTTGTACGAAAAATGGATTGAAAGTGATCAATCTCATTATTAAAAATCACCCACCAGAATGTCCAAGGTTGGACACAATTAACAGATGTTGCAAGACTGGACTTAAAATCACAAAACCCAGGGACGTAAAGTGGATACTGGGAAAGCTTTAAGTGTATTGTATCCATGCATGGACAAAAGAGGGCGCTTTATAGTCAAACAAGCAGAATTAGCCGGAATGAGGGACACTTCACTGGTTCACTCATGCTGGTTATCGTGTATTTGGTACCAGCATTTATAAGGCACAATGGTGCCCAAATGACCCTCGTTTATAGTTTTCTCTGTGGAAGGGGGGAGGGGGGTTGCTTGAGCGCAAGAAGGAGATTCTGCCTTCTTGTTGAGCGTAGTGACATCTTCCTTGCTGATTTTCCAAGGAAACGTCTCCGTGGTCTCCCCTGCTTCCTCATCCAGCACCCAGGGTTTGGACAGCTCCTTGAACCGTCTCAGGCTCTACTCCTTGGGCTTCTTGTTCGGGTCCGGGATGACCTCCACGTCCGAGCAGTTGATGCGGAACTTGCTGAGCATGTTGGCCGTGTTCATCTTCTCCCTGTCCATTTGTTCCTTTTTGCCCGTGGTGGCAAAGACGCGCAGCCTGCATTTCTCCCAGTTGGATTTCATGGAGATGAGGTGAGGGATGAGTAGGGTCAAGCCTGGGGGGTGGTGGGAGGTGGGGGCATAGGTGGGGGGGGGGGGGGGGGGGGGTCACAAACAAAAATTATACAGAACATTATCTCCCTTTGACATAAAGCACGTGTTTCCTTAGATATGCAGCTATCCAGTAACCTGAGAGGTCTCTGAAAGGCTTTATAAAATGAATTGGACACTGAAACATATATTAAAATAATAAGGCCAACCAAGAACAAAAAGCGTGGTGTTTTCTATTACATATAAATAACAACTGGGTGGTAGGGTAGGTATAAAAATCTGTTTTGGGGGGTTTGACATTTCTATAGCCTGAAAATATAGGGTGGGATGATAGTCATTGAACTTTTTTTCTCTATTTTGCATGCATTAGTTAACATGTGAAACATTCTGCACTTCTGACCAACTTGCACAAAAATAAATATAACGTTGATAGTTTTCCCTGGGGGGGGGGGGGTGCTTGAGTGCAAGGAGGAGATTCTACCTTCTCTTTGAGAGTGGTGACTTGTTCCTTGATGATCTTCCAAGGAAACTTCTCCGTGGTCTCCAGGCTGCTTCCTCATCCAGCATCCAGGGTTTGGAGAGCTCCTTGATGATTGTGTTGGTCTTGATCTTACCGAACCCACCAATCTAGACGGAAACCAATCAGGAAGGAAAATTTGAATGCATTTGCTCTAAATAAATCGTGTCCAGGTCTTGGAAAAGACCAACGTTAGTACTGCAAAAAGCCAAAAACCTGGACAAATCTGGTTTAATGATCTTGTTATACATTTTGCCACTTTGACTTAATTTTTTAAAGACCTGCTTGCATTTTACTCAAACTGTTCATCAAAATTCATTCCGCAAAGTCTTCTTCAAGTACTCAACTGTGAGTACACATTTCGGTACTCAAAATACGGTACTCGAACGACAGTGCCTTTTGTCCTCCAACGCCGGTTTGTGCACTAAGTCTAGGGGAAAGGTTTAGATCAGGGAACAAAGGAAAACACAAAGCCAATTAATCCTCGGAAGCATAGCAAACAACAACTGTGTGCGCGTTATGGAAAGTGTGTACAGTGTTCGTATATTTTAAATGCAATTTTCGAGTTTCTTTTAGTGCAAACAAATATTATACACATTATACAGTATGTCCAAAAGAAATGTCCGTCTGACTATTTTTGAAATAACTACAAAACCATGAAGTCCAATTTGAAAAAGTTTGATTGTGCAAACACTCCCTATCTTGGCCTCAACTCCGATGAGTTTCATTTAATTTCAGTCACGCATCACTGCACAATTGTCAATTGATCACAACAACATTTTGGGACACTGCGACCAAGTTCCTTGCCTTAATGAATTTCAGTGCTGTGTTAAGTAAGCTGTGTAAAATCCTGCATGTTGTAAAAAGAGCTGCAATTGGGATTGGAATCATTTGCCTGGCTATCAGTCATCACGGTAAGACCTCAGTTTAATGCTCAAGGGCAAATGATTCCAATCCCAAACCACATCAGCCTTTTTTTCACAGACACTTTTTTGGGACATACTCTATGACAATTAATAATGATAAATTTAGTGTCAGGTTAACGATAACACTTTGGAAGTCTAATGGTTTATTTTTGTTTTAGTTATGATTTTAGTAATGTAAGATGATTTGATATGATGGAGTTGAGATAATCTGTCGCCTACCTTTTGCTTGCTTCTTCTTTTTGTAGTCAAAGTCTAGACGTCGCCCCTGTAACTTCTTCCGATGGTGCTGTAGAAATCGAACATTGGGAAGAAAGTTAATGTACTGTTTGACAAGAGACATTTGCACATTGCTGTAAGGCTCCTTATATAAATTATGGGTCAAAGTGTGACAATTTTCGAGTTCCTGTTATCTCTGAGCATTGTCATTTGCTGTTCAAGTATCATTAAGAATGACTTCAACAATTTGTTGGGTAGGTTGTCTGCTTCACATAATCACTCTTGGCGGACGACTGCATTAACCCTAACCTTCCCAAATCCTCCCAAATCCTCTTTGCAAAATGGAGGATTTTGCAGGATTGAGGCTGTTTAATTGGCAAAAATGTGTGGCTGATTTTGCAGGATGCAGTGTGTCAAGGTCTTGGGCCGGGCCTTGTGTTTGTTTATGCTCAGCTGTGCATAAATTATACTTGAAGTCCTCCGCACTGCTCCAGGATGTCACTGGCTCTGCCTCAAAATATTGACAGTGATTGCTGGAGGATTTTGTAGGATTGAGGCAGTGATCATTCTTCCACGGATCACATTCAAGAAATAATGGAGGATTTTGCAGGATTGAGGCTGCATGCAATTTTGACATGGAGGCAGTTGGAGGATTTTGCAGCATCATCGCAAAAATTCCCAGGGAGTTAGGGTTAAGAGTGACTTTAAACAATTTTGTATTCGTCGTGTAGGTAGTTTGCTATTCATAATCACCCTTGGAGGACGACTGCATTAAGGAGTGCATCAGAATGATAAAATCACAGATGTCAGATGTAACAGGGACAGGAAAAAAGTGGACCCCAAATTTATCGAATGACCCAAAGTACACAGGCATAAGTTACAACTCAAATCAACCAGTAATCGATCACTGGTCTTCTATCAATTTTTTTCCAGATGGGCCACAATTTGTGCTTGAATTTCCCCGCAGGTGGCTGTGCAACACAGTCCTGCTTCTATCAAAATCAACCAAATTCTGTCAGATTCTGTAAGATGGAACTCACGTTGATCTCTTTCAGATCTTTGTTCTTGAGATGATCCAGGGGATCCAGGAAGTTCTGTCTGACGTTTAGATCGAAGGCGCCCTTGACTTCAGAAAGTTGCCTCAGTGATTCTCCCATCTCGACCATCGCCGTAGCTGTATCCAAAAAATAACCAAAACAATTTTTTTTTTTTTTAATGATACCTATAAAAAACAACATTTTATTGTTCTGTTGTTTCCACCAAAACTAAGTATACCCTGGGAGCTGAGATTGTCTATGAAATGCATGGTCTATGAAATGCATTATTAGACAGAGTAAAAAAAAAAACGGTTTCCCGTCTGCTTTTTTTTCCTCCACCATGAGGTGAGGTATATGTTTTCATCGGCCTTGGTTTGTCTGGGAACAGGATAACTCAGGATAAATGCGGAGGCACTAGACTCACGTGAATCGCGCACTCCGGACTCATTCGACCAAAACATTTGCGAGCCTCGTCTTTAAGAACGTGTGCACGTAGTCGTGGCGCGACCTCAAAAATGGCTTCTAATTTTGTTTGCCGGATTACGCTATATGAGAATGTAATTTCCAGTAACCCTGGTTAACCCTTCTGTTAGTGAGCATTAGCCATGTCTGAATGACATGGCTACGACTAACACTAGCCCACATGGGAAGTGGCTTCATCTGCTTCCATAGGTGCAACTAATGTATTAGCCGTAACCACTTCATTCTGACGTGGCTTTATGCTTTTCCATTTTCCCCAATTTGTGCTTGAATTTCCCCGAACGTGGCTATGCAACACAGTCCTGATTCTATCAGAATCAACCAGATAATGGGTGATGTTAGATTTTGTAAGATGGAACTCACGTTGATCTCCTTCAGATCTTTGTTCTTGAGATGATCCAGGGGATCCAGGAAGTTCTGTCTGACGTTCAGATCGAAGGCGTCCTTGACTTCAGAAAGTTGCCTCAGCAATTCTTCCATCTCGACCATCGCCGTACCTGTATCCAAACAAAAACAAAAACATAACAAAATCCATCTTTTTATAATACCTATAACAGGAAAGATTTTATTATCCTGTTGTTTCCATCAAAATGAGACCAGTTGGGCTAGGTAAAAAAGTAAGTGTTCTTTCAGCAAAACGAAAACAATTCTCATAGGGATGCATGTGAATTGTTTTCGTTGTGCTGAAATAACACGTACATTTCTTTGTGATCCATGGACAGAACTTTAAAATGGCGTTTGTGTTCAAAATTCCGTAACTTGAAAAACAAATGAGTGATGTGAATGTTTCTTGTGTTAATACAAAGCCCATTGATTGGGCTTTCATATCCTAGATTTGGAAAGTGCTACAGGCAAAACTTTATTCAAAAATTGGTCCTGCCATTTGAGTTTTGTCTTTTTTGACTCACCTGTATATTGCAAATGCATGCATTTATAAATAAAAAAAATAAAAAAATACAAAGTGGGTGCAAAAAAGGCAGTGGGCAGCTACGAGAAACTGGTTTATTTCTTTACTTAGCCTTGCATATCTGAAGTGCTGGGCACTACATAAATTACACAATACTCATGGTACTATGTTGGTGGATTGCAACACTGATTAGAGCACCTTTTTGCGAGCTTTTTGATCAGTCTACCACAGAAGGAAAGAGAATACATCTTGAAGCTTGCTCACCAAACGTTGAATCTTCTCCTAATTCTCTGCCGTTCTTCAGCATGACTTCTCCCAGGAATCCTACGGGTTGTTGAGGCTTGGTTCCTCCCTTGTTCTGACCACGGACTTTACTCGTGGCTCTGGAGACTGTTCAGGAAAGACAACACGATTGATAAGGGTCAGAAAACAAATAGAAGATCTATCTCTATTTGGTTTGTTTGAAGTGCATACTTAGACCCGATTCAAACCGGTGTTCTATAGTCACCCCAAACGTAATTATTCCAAAGGTTACAATTAAAGGTAATATACGACATTTGCAAACATCAACAAACAAAACTACCAAATTATTATGAAATACTTTACTTGACTGTAGGTGAATGACAGTCTCAGACATCCTGTGAAATCATGGCTTCTGGTGTGCTGTCATTTTTAAGAAAAGTGGAATTTTCGTATTGATTTCAAAAGAGTGGTCGGCCGACCATCGTTGGAAGAAACTGATTTGTCCAAATAGTGCCCCAATTTACCCAATTTATTTAGTCCACATTTTGTTTGCAAGCGGTTACACATCCGTGAATGGATGCAAGCCAGCTAGTCTGGTTCCCTGAGCTCAGGGAACAACACAAGATCCGGCCCAAGACCTTGACACAGTGCATCCTCATAAATCAGGCACACATTTTTGCCATATAGCCTCAATCCTGCAAAAGCCTACATTTTGCAAATAGGATTTTGGAGGATTTGGGAAGGTTAGCGTCAATGATGTTTCAATTTTGGTTCTTACCTGGATTGGGCTGAAGGTATTCTATTGTCTTGTTCACCAAATCATCCACTGTGTGTCCTGCCACGTCAATTTTCTAATGAAAAAAAAAATACATTACCCAAAGACAATGAGAAGAATTCAATCAGCATAAATAATGTCAAGCAATATTTACTAATACTAAATGTGTTAAAACTTTTTTCGCTATGGCAGGAGAGATTCATACCCTGGACTCCGTTGCATGTACACAACAGAGTCCAACCTGGGCTAGGACTAGGGCTAAGTTACACTTACAGCAGACAGGGCTCTGGAGTGCTCTGAAACATGCAAAACAAAACGGGCAAAGAAAATGTCCTCAGTATTTCACCAACCAAGTTTGGAGACTCAGTTCAATTTTCAAAGGAGATTTTTCTTCAATGTTTTGCACATGAGAGGGAAGTCAAGTGATTTCAAAATGGGACTAAATACTAGACTGGTACATGTCCAACCATCATGACCATATGGTCCAAC